GCCCGGGGAGGAGGGGGAGGGCCGGGTTCCTAGGACAGGGAGTGGGTAGTCTGGGAGGCTGGGAGATCCTCAAGGGGCTGGGAAGGTGCAGTTTGGAAGACACTTCATGCTGGGCTCCTGGGCAGACAGAGTCCGGTGTTAGAGGGAGAGGCTGGGGATGGATGTTTGGGTTTTAAAAAATCAGATTTGGCACTGGGGACCCTGGAGACTCAGAGAAGCAGACTGGGGGCTTCAAGAGCTTGGGGTCAGGTTGCTGGGAGATTTGGGATGTGACAGTGTCCTTGAGCCACTGGCAGGGATAAAAGCTGGGCAGCTGGACTTCTGGTCTCCCAAAGGCTTCCAAGCAATCGTCCAAGTGCCTCCAGACTTGGGGCTAAAAGGAAGAGAAAAGTGAAGCTTGAGACCTAGACTCCTGGGATGCTGGAAAGAAAAACCGGGGACCCAAAGTCGTGGTTCTGCCACACCATGGGGACTCAGGGTCTTGGGTTCTGGGAGGAAGAAGGCAGACAGAGCCAGAAGTCTAGGGGCCTTGGGCAAGCAAGAGACAGATCAGCGGGAGCCCACCTGAGAAGGGAAGGAACCAGAGGTGAATGAGGGTCTGGCTGGGGCCCGCGGCAGAGGGTCTCAGCAAGGACGGCATGCTGGGAGCTGCCAGCCCCACACAGGGGGTGCCGCAGCCCTGAAGACCCCCCCTCCCCCCGGCACAGGTAGGCCTGACTCAGGCTGAGGTCCCTCAGCTGCCTGGTGTTGCAGGACCCTCCCCCCGCACCCCTGTGCTTCCAAATCTCGAGCTTGGGACCCCTGCAGCTCTCCACTCACTCTTCTGAGACTCAAGTGCTTGCAAAGAAACGAGGAGACTGGCGGTGCCTGTGGAAGCACAGGAAGCCCCGGCAGCAGGGGCTTGGGAAGCGAAAGGCTGTGGCCAAACTTGGGCTCCCATCCAGCTGCACACAAGCAGGGCACAGGGACAGCGACATTCAGTGCCTGGGCCCAGTCCACCAATGCCTCTTCCTCACTCCCTGGCCTTTACATTACTGTGCCAAAGCATCTTTGCCGTGAAATGGAGACAAGAGGTCTCCACAGAAGGAAGGACGTTGGGGTCCAAATTCATAGCTCTACCACGGGTCCTCAGGAGGATCAAATCAGCTCATCTCCATAAAGGACTTTGAACAATACGAGCCTGTACTGCTACACATGCAGCTGCAGCTATTGCTTTTACCATGACTCACAATGATACATGACCTGGGCCTAGCAGGTGCTCAATAAAATAGCAGCTATTTTTCCTGGGCACTGTGAAAAGGAAGTGTTGCTAACACTCACATCATAGGCCAGCACGAGCCAGGCGAGGGAAGGAGCAAACCCTACGCAAATCTATTTTACTATTTCAGGTCCCAGTTAACCTGGCCCCCTGCTTGGCTCTAACCCCAGCTCGCACGAGCACCTCCTTGCCCAGACCAGTGGGGCTGGCTGCCTTTTCACCTCCAACTTCCTAATTCTCCTCAGCCACGGGGAGCCAGAGCTGGAGGAGGAGCCGACAGGAAAGTGGGTCCTCTGTAATTACGACTTCCACGCCCGCAATAGCAGCGAACTCTCAGTCAAGCAGCGAGCCGTGCTGGAGGTGAGGAGTGGTGGCTGCGAGCCAAAACGGCCAGCACAGCACAGCCGCAGCTGAGGCCCGAGGCCCTGAGTCTTCCCCTACCCGCCCAGGTCCTGGATGACAGGCGCAAGTGGTGGAAGGTTCGGGACCAACAGGGCCAGGAGGGCTATGTACCCTATAATATCCTGACACCCCACCCCGGACTCGGAGCAGTGCACAGCCTGGTGAGCCAGGGCAGTCTGGGCTCCTGAGGGAGGAGAGGCTGGAGCCAGAGCCTGGGTCCTGAGAACAAGGGGTGTGGGGACCCAGGGTCAAGGATTCTGACTGGGGGCTCAGAAGTTCAGAGGGAGGGCAGGGGATGTAGCTCAGTGGCACCGTGCCTGCCTTGCAAACGCAAGGTCCTGAGTTCAAACCCTGCCACCAAAAATAAAGTCCAGAGGGAGGGGCGGGACGCCAAGTCCTCCTCTGAACCAGGGAGCCTCCTTCGCCCTCCAGGAGAACAGCGCTCCTCCTCATAACCCTCCGGCTGCAGTCCGGGCCCCTACCCCGGCTCCGGCTCGGAACAGCTGCGATAGCCTCAACAACTTGGACCCCAGCGAGAAGGGTGAGAGTTGGGGCAGCCCCTTCATAGAGCGGTCCTTGTCTTCTCTTTTCCGGAAAGGGTGGCTTAGAAAGAGAAAAATGAAGCCATGTATGATGGCGCACACTTGTAATCCCAGCACCCTGAGATGGTGAGGCAGGAGGATCACAAGTTCCAGCCCCACCTCAGCAATTTAGTAACTTAACTGGATCCAAGCTAAAATAAAAATGTAAAGCGGCGGTGGGGGCGGTATCTCAGTACGAAGGCCTTGGGTTCAAGAGAAAGAATGAGAAGGGACGCTCAATCGATCCATCCTTGGGACGCTAGAGGCCGCCGGGCCCACTCCCTCGCCTTTTATATGCACTGACTCCCTGCCGGTTCCTCACCTGCAGAGAAATTCTCCCAGATGCTAAGTGTAAACGAGGAGCTGCAGGCGCGCCTGGCCCAGGGCCGCTCGGTGCCCAGCCGCTTAGCCCCGGGACCCCGCGCACCAGAGCCGCAGCTCAGCCGGAACGCTGAAGCCGCAGAAGTCCGCGCTTGGCTGCAGGCCAAGGGGTTTAGCGCTGAGTGAGTGGAGCTCGCAGACGCGTGGGCGGGGGAGATGGGAGCGGAGGTTCCGATTGGCTCGGAGTGGGGCGTGGAGACCAAGGGGAGCTGCGATTGGCCCCTATTTATAGCCTGGGTGTTCCGCTGGTAGATTTCTCAGATTCCGATTGGTGCCTCCAGGAAAGTCCCGCCCCATCCTGAAAGAGGCGCGCTTTCGCGCCGGGACCACGTGCTGTGGTTGATAGGTGGGGAACCCAGGCTTCAAAATGCTGCTCTGATTGGACAAGCGGCTACACAGCCATAACGTGATTGGCGAGGCTGCAGGGGGCTTGAGCTGTGATTGGCCGGCAGACCTGACCGCCCGCTTCGGCCCCGTGCAGGACTGTGGACGCGCTAGGCGTGCTGACCAGCGCGCAGCTCTTCTCTCTGCAGAAGGAGGAGTTGCGGGCGGTGAGCCCGGAGGAAGGCGCGCGCGTGCACAGCCAGCTCACCGTGCAGCGCG